AACTAATCATCAGAAAGACTTTTCTTTTGAAGGCCTCTTAACTTCCATAAAGAAGATGTACCTTGTTTTTATCAAACACATCTAAAGAATAGATTTCAATCTCCAGACATCATCTGAGATTTTTAGGCTGACAGCTAAATGTATCTTGACCTCTGTTGGAGCCAAGTTAGACAGACTCCCTTTTAGGACTTAGTGTAAAGTCCTTCAGTTGCACATTCAGACCTTGTAGCTGTCAGTAGATTCTTATTTATTGAAAAAAAATTCTTCCCTGAAACATTCATTAAATTTTGTAATATGTTATTTTACTTTTAACCAAAGGAAGAAAACAAAGTTCCCAGTTTTAATTAACCATGTTAAATTATATTTCAGTCTCAAACCAAAGGATGCAGACTGGATTCAAATGACTAATCTCTCTTCCCTGATCAGGCAATGGTACTGCTTCAGGATGACTTACCTTAGAAATACACTTCACCTCAATCTCATTAAAGCACGTGTTCTACAGATCTTCTTTAGCAGTTCATATAAAACAATATGCTGCTACCAGAAATCAGCTTTAATGGTGGATATTTCTTCCCTTGAGCTATTCCTGTCTCTTAAAATGGCTTTGAGCAAACAAACAGGAGCCAAATGTTGCTATCAAAACACATCAGCACAAAACTGTGTTGCTAGATTAAGGATGTTAAACCAAAGTACAAAATATGCTTTCTGGACCTTGAAGTAAAGTCATAAAATCCAAAAAGAACTCCACTTGTGAGCAACAACCCCTTCTTCTACATCATTATCCACTGTCAACAGAAGTCAGGGTGAAATATCATACTTGCAGTCATGAATATTCAGATTTGTAGTTATACGTATGTGATCCTCAGAAGTTTGTTTGCTTTTAAATGGTTCTAAATTTGTGAAGCATAATTTGAAAACTCCTAGCACAGGGATATGCTACTGGGGCAAACAAATGTATTTGCATGAGGCTGTAATAAAAAGTCCTATTCAAATATAATAATTGAACCTTGTTTATGGTAATTATTTGTTAATGCCTATTCTCAGCTGAATTAGTTTAGAACAGCATTCTGATCTTACTTTAGCCTTTTTTCCATTCTAAGACAGTACTGTAATTTACATCAGAGGATAATTGCTCTTCCTGAAATAATGGGAATTTTTATACAGGTCTCGGACACTGGGTTTTAACTTTGGTATTCTGGACTTAAATCATGGCCTTCTGCATCAAAAAGTAAAAAGTGGTGTCTCCAGAGAAGATTGATCTGGCATGCTGGATGAGCAATTCTTATTAATAACATAATTGGCTTGGTAATATGTCCTCCGTGTGGCTTTCAATAACCATAGAAAATCCTTGATCAATCAAAAAATTACAAACAGTGGGGTTTTTTTCTTTTTTTCTTTGAAACAATTTGTATCTGAGGCATCTGCAGTAATCTCACAAGTCTGCTAGAAAACTACAGGTCTGGAGGGAGGTCTCTTTTTTTTTTTTACCTCTCTCTTTTTTCCAGTTAAAAGCTTTCCATCAATGCCTCAGAATGAGTTTCCCGGCTTTTATGTGATACCATAGGCTTTTTAAAACCATTTATTCTCAACCAGTTCCAGATATAGGCCCTCAGAGGTACCAAATTGGTTGGGTTTCCTTTCCACCTGCTCCCCCTTTCCAGTTCCTCCTGATAGTTTTATCGTCATTTTCTTTCTCCTTATTTTTTTTCCCATGGAATAATCAATGACTCTTCTCAGGACTAAGATCTTTGCCACGTATTTCATTAGTATAAGCATAAGTAAAGTGTTAGGCATATCAGTAGATTTTAAATTAAGCATTTAAAACATTTTTTTCAGACAACCAAACTGAATAGAAATTCCATATTTGGATTCACTTTGAGAAATACGTTTCTGAGAAAGAGTAAAAAAGGAAACCATTGAAAAAAAAATAATCCTTCAAAAATGTGGATTTGTAGGTCAGAGCCTGAGACTGTCAAACCATATATTATTCATCCTTCAGAGAAAATAAATCCAATCACTTTTGTGTGAAGAATGCACCCGTATTGCCTTGACACAATGGCCTTGATCAATGCATATGAAAGCTTTCTCATTAGCCTTCTCTACAGGACAGAAGTCATCCTTTCCCATAAAATTGTTCAAAGAATAAATGGTATTTGACAGCTAACCTTAAATAAAGGGGATGGGGCAGTAGGTGGTCAAAAGTAGAAAGAAAACTGAGAAAGTCTGTCTTAAACTTGACAGATCCAACCATCCAACCATGTCTGGAGTTGATCCAATCAGGCATAGTTACACGACACATCATGTAACTAGATTGCAAACATTAAAATCTAGGTTGCCAAGCTTCTTACTTGCAAGCAAGAAAACTTCCCACAGTAAGGTCTAAAAATTAGAAGGTAAGACCAATAGTTTCAAGTCAAGAGAAATCAGGCAAGTTTTATGATCTGGATTTGCACTATGATATTGTTCAAATTAACATTTTGGAATCATACATATTTGCTCTTCAGAATCATTGTTAGCAGATATTCCTTTTATGCTTTTACAAGGCCCTAGGAACAGTGATAGCCTCCCATTTCATGAAGAAACCTACTGCCTTAGGACACCAGGACTCCAGTTTCTAATTTGAATAGAGTTTACATAATTTCCTGCAAAGTAAGAATCCGTTTTGTCAATATTTCTCTTACAGAAAAGACCTAAAATCACATGATGTTACTCCTTTCCTCTGAGTTCTTTTAAAATACATGGGATAAGTAGGGAGAAACAGATAGCTTCTGACTACAGCAAATGCATAACCACTGAGAAATAAATGGGGTTAAATGGGGGAGTCGTTTAGATTCTTTCCTTGTTCTGTTTCAGTTCCTTTACTGTTTTACTTTTAAATATTTGAGCTGCATTTGTATGTTTTGATGTAAACCCAGTGCTTTAAAGAGCCAAGACAGCATTCTGGAAAGCACTCTCTTTAATATACTTACCCAATCAGAGTGTCTATACAGTCTTTACTTTGTGAGTGTTTCTGAAAACCAGCACTCATTTGGAAGGAGACCTCAGGCTTGTTGCCAACATGCTATGAGAGGGGACAGTGACTGCTGGCAGGTGGAGCCTGTTTCTGATCTGAAACTGTGCAGTATCTAAGGAAAAATTAACAAAACCTGCAAGACCTAAACTGATCTGACTTGATCTAGATTTGAATGAAGCCATGCAGACTGTATGACAGAGTTTAAAAAAAAAAAAAAAAATCTAAAACCACAATAAAAGATGACGATCATAAAGAGGTCAAGAATGTTTTTCTTTCCTGTAAAACTCGGGAATAAAGAGATGCTTCACACAGAACACACTGAGGAAGAGAGAGAATTAGGGGGTTGGACATTATCAGAAGTCATTTCCATTGAAATGAATAAGAGCCAGTTGCTGTCAAAGAGAAATGCAAAGCTACATTAGAACAATTCCCAAAACAGTAACACATAGCCTGAATGGCTTGATAGTGGAAGTTTTCAGCTGGAAATATTACTGATATTGCTAAATTCATCTTGCTGTAGTGACTGATGGATTGTTGGTGGAAGTGGGTCAATATATTGGTATGACCATTACTAATCCAACCACACTGTTCTCCTCATCAGTGCACTGCTTTGGAGCACTACTGTTGAAAAACCTTGCACCAATTAGTTATTTATTGAATATTTCTACATCTAGTCCAATAAAAAGTCACTTACCTAATCTGAGGTTTCAGTTTACAGAAATATTTCCCATAAGTAATTACAGCAACAGCCATTGATGTGGAGATATCTGAACTAGATGGGATTGTACTGAATTTTGAGGAAGAGGGGAACAATTTATTAAAGCACATAGGAAGCATGTCTGGCTGCAAAATGATAAATGGGAGGAGAAAGAACTTGATGGGACTTTAAAACCTTGATTTCACTTTAATGTCCACCTAATTAAAAAAATGTTCTTTTTTTTCTGTGGCTGCAGCAAGAATTCTGAGGATTCACTAGAGACTTGACTGAAGGGAGCAAGGAGAGAAAATATCACAAAAGCATGGTTTATATTATAGCAGAAATAACTCCTAGTTATTCCAATAATATTTTATTCAATAATATAAATATTCTGGTCGCAATGTCCAAAATCTAGAGTGAACCACAGTTCTCTCACGTAATATTTTTAGGAGAGGGAAGAGCTAAAACAAATTAAATCTGTAATCCCTAAGAAACAGGGTGAGACAGATCCCTAACCTCCTCACATCTATCTGAAGTCCCATTCATCCTCTGTCCAAAAGGTTAAATAGGTACTTTTGGGGATATCCGTATTTTTAAAGGTTCAAACAAAACTGTCCATGACTGGGTGATACTTGAGTTGCTCATCTAAGAATATAAATTGCAGTTCCTTCAGTATCTATCTTCACTGGAAGAACTGTTAAATTACCACAGAGGGACAAGTCAGAAGGGAAGTCTTATGCTGCCAGTATTACAGCCACCAGAGAATACACAGACTACAGATGGCAGTTTGTTGACTCAGAAAGTATTGCCTCCAACTCAAAAAAAGTCTAAAGTTTACATCATCTTGACAGAAACAGGAACTGACTCCAGAAGTAAAAAGCAGTTGCTTGAGTACAGGAGTTCACAGCTTCATTATACACATTGTGTGCAAAAGCAATGGAGTCCATGTCAATAACATGTATTTGGTGCTTTCAAATACTTATTTTAAGAAAAATGGAAACAAACATAAGATGGATCTTCCATTAAAAATGATTTTTAAATGAATAAAAGAAAAAGAGGATTGTGATTGGAAACATTTCCCTAGAGCCAAAAAATTTCCAAACCTATGGTCAAGGCAAGAAGAAACATTAATTAAGAAACCAGATGAAACATAGGAAAAAAAAAAAAAACTCTTGAAAAATGTCATTTAGAAAATGGGATGATAATAGCAATGAATATGAATTAGGCAGTGGGAAGCACAACCACTAATGAGGAAAACAAAGTTGTAAGAAGAATCTGTGACCAACACAGTTAATGCCCAAGGAAGACTCTTTTTATTACACTCAAAATAATCAGTATCATAACAATTACATTGGTACATTGTCCGATAAGCAAGGGGCAAGTGTTAATAACAGAGACAGAATTTTTCAGTAAATATTCAGTATTTTCAGTAAATATATGTGTTTTGCTTGTAAAACATAAAATATGTATATACATAGTGGTTATGATGAATTCACTCTGTTAGTAGCAAAACAGGATGTTAAAATAGAAGCTATTTTAAATTAATTTAATTCATAAACATTTTTGACTCAGCAAATCCAGATAACTCTCAACTAATAGCTAGAAAAGAACTGGTATAGGAGATGTCTGAACTGTTGATGTGGATTTTTAATGAGACCAAAGGCTCATTACAATACCTAATGGTAATTTCCAGAGGACCAAGCTAAGAAAGTAACATCCTGCCAAGACTTAGAAAAGGGTAAATGGGGCAATACCTGAAGTAATTACAGACTTTGCCATCCTGCATTGATCCCAACAAAAATAGTGGAATAGCTGGTAGGGAACCCAATTAAAAGACAGTAGTACAATTAAGTACTAATCTAAATGCTCTTATATATAATAGATCTCAAACTAATTCAATATTTTTATGAGAGTACATTTTTGTTTTATAAAAGTTAACAGTGTTATGCAATACACTTAGATCTCTGTAAGGCACAACTAACTGCACACTGCACAACATCCTGATTAATAAACTAGAACACAAAATCATCACTGCATACATTAAATGGATTAAAGACAGTCAAGGATAGGTCTTGTTGATAGCATTGGAAATCACCACACTGTGGCTGTATTTCCAAGGACATTGCTACAGGGTGGAGTTGTTGGCCTCTACCTATTTAATATTTTTTATAAATCAATTGCGGAGAAGGAATCAAACCGATGCAAAGATTAAGGGAGTGGTAAATACTGAAGATAACAAGTCGTTGTGACAGAACAAGAGATCGCTTCGTAAATCATAACAAACACGCAGGATGGTGTGAGTGAGCAAAGTCAAACTTTTTGGAGCATTCCAGGTAGGCCATATTAGCTCAAGAAAATGCTGCTGCATTTTAGACCATATTTTGGACAAACCATTAGATAATTTTTAACTCAACATACAAATGAAAATTGAGTTTTCAGGGGAATTTCTAACACTGTATAATTCATAAAATCATGTCTTGAAGACAATGAGGAGAAATTATATTTGAAGCCATGAGACACTCAGAAAGGCACTTCTCAGTAGCAGTCTACTTAAAATCTGCAAACACACATGAAGACCACTGACTTCAGGAGTACCAGAAAAGAAAAGCAATGTAGAAATTAAAAAGCAAATTTTACAGCCTGAAATATTCCCAAAGCATAACAACATAGTAAGGAAATGAGATCAGATAACTCAGGGAAAAAAAAAAAAAAAAACCAAAAAAAAACACCAAACTCACAACAAACTCACAACATTTCACATCTATTTTAGGGATTCAATATCACTGCTGAAAGTGATAGAACCAGAAGAGACAGTCAGATACACAGTGCTGTTGAAGTGGAATAAAAGCCAGCCTCCAAGTCCGAAGAAACTTCTTTTGTATTCACAATCGATGAAAGCCCTAAGAAGAATCTGAGAATGACCATGTTGTTGACAATCTGGTCATGCTCATTTGAATACTGAAATGAAATCATAGCCTTTATGTACTTCCTTTGTATACTAAGTCAATGTAGCTACAGAAAAAAAATATTTAACCTTGTTTTCACCCCAAAACAGGTATGACTGCTTATGCCTCTGAGCTATTTAGAACTCTTAGAAATATGTAATAATGATGAAACAGGCCTCACATACTGGAAGAATTATACCCAGGACTTATAGTTATGCTGTGGATAAACAAAAGTCACTTCCCCATCTTACCGTAAGAAGATACTGATCACAGGGAAAGCGTTTCCTCATGTAATGGCATTACAATTATAAAAGCAACAAATATCAAATGAGAATTTAATACAATGCATTTTGGTTACTCCATTAGAATTTCTACTCTAAGCAAGCAGTCTTGTGAACAGCAGGAAAGTACAATGATGACAAGAACTAAATGCATATGCAATTCACAGATCATTCCCAGAGACATTTCTTCATTTATTTATTTTTAACTTGCAGCTTTTGTTTCCATAGGAATCAATATTTCCTTGCAAAGTTAATGACTACTAGAACACATTAATGAGCTATGTTAACAGGCAATAATGACACTACTAATGTTTGTCACTCCTCTTTCTGTGAACGAGATTCAACAGAGAGCAAAAAATTAGCATTACACTGATATGTAAATTATAGCCAAATTATGAAATCCAGAGATATTCATAAATCCCTTTTCACTGATTATATCAAACAAAACAGTAAAACAGAAGCAATAGCCATCTATCTTGTAAATATGTAATGTCAAAAACACAGTTACACACCAAGAAAGTTTTGCAAGCCCATTTATGATTTGTTTTAAATATCATCAGTAAGGTCGATAACATTTCTCTTTAATTAAAAACTTAAAAATTTTTCCACTGGAAGCCTAATTTTTATTATTGTGTTGCCTTCATGGAACCAACTATCCAAAAGAGGGTAGACACCTAACTCACACATAGTGGAAATCTAACTTTTCTGTATCAGAGGAAAGAGGTAAGCAATCTCCAGGGAAGGTGATTCAGAATATCTAGGCTTGGTGCCTAAAATGGAGGTTATAAATAATTGCCTATACATATGAACTTATCTAGGTTTGATTCTCTGCTGAGACAAATTTTAAACTGCAATAAAGTAAAAGTTAGTTCAACCTCCTTTTTTTCCCGTTGGTAGGAGTCCTATGATTCCAAATGAATGTAAAACTAAAAATGTTCATGGTAATCTATGGTAAGAACTCTTGCCAGAGATTCGTTTGAAGTTAATTGTTGGAATTATTAAAGGTGATATTGCACAGAGATTACAAACTGTACGTGGCTCTTGTATTGATGGTTTGGATCTTGTAGTGCTGAGAATTTTGCAGCAGTCAGATAGAACAAGACGACTTGTGTTGTATGCTGCAAGCAACAGCAAGGAAAAGGTATAGTATACCTGGGCTTTCCTTTGAAGAAATAAGTAAGCCACACCCGAGCCAAGTGACCTCACACAGTATCATTCCTGCCACTTTAATGGACAGAAGTGAAAATTAACTTTGGACACATTCCAATGGTAGACAATTTAGGGCTTATCTGCACAGGAGAGCTACTGCATAGTAAACCTCATGCCAATGGAGATGACCTGACAAAGGAGTTAAGGAGCTAAAAGTAGGATCAGAGTCTTCAGCATTTTGCCTTCTCTAGCTACCTGTGTTTGTAAGAGGTGAGCAGAGAGGTTCAATTCTGCCCCTATAAATAGTTCAAAGTGTATGCCAATGCATAAATGTGCCAGTGATCCTGCAGGATGAGAACAGGTATAAAGATGGCAGGCTACCTTCCAATCTGTTCATACCAATGTCATCTTTTGTGTCCTAAACTGTATTTTCTGCAGGACAAAAAAAGGTAATATTAGCAGATCTTCAATACATGGAGAATATTTTGTTCAAAGGTTCTAGGAAATTTGGTTGGTAAGGAACAGAAATGTTGATGTGTTCTTCCAAAACAATTAAGGAAAAACGTCTGAAGCACATCAAGCACTCTGAAGCTGAGCCTCAGGTTTGAAGTTTTATGAGTTCATAAAACTCCACCCATGGTCACAGAAGTTTTACAAACTCCAGATGAATTTGAATGAACATGATGTAGCCAGAGAACCACATTCCTTCCAAAAATCTACTCATCTTTTTCTGACAGGATCCAGAAACCTTCTGATTTTCAGCACATGTAAGAGTTATCTATAAAAAAAAAAATCTTGATTTCAAAAGCATTGATATATTGTGCACTGAACAGTCCTATTTCTTCTTAGAATTTTTGACAGAAAATACGTTATGTAGCTTTACAATTCATGATTTTGTAAATTACTGGAATGAAAGTAAAAAGAGATTTCAGGATAATATTTGAAGAGTCCATTATCCTATTCAGTTCTGAACGATTTTTAAAACATTGAAAATTTTCAGATGGGAAATTCCATTGCCTTGTTATACTAGAAATCAAGTTTATCATCAGTTACTTTACTTCTTGGATAAATCATTGGATTACTGCATTGCAAATATTTACATCAGGGATCAAGATAGATCTTTCAGTGCAGGTAATCTTGGATTTCTCCACATTTTAATACAAATTAATGAAACAAATTAAAGCACATCAGGGAATATGCAGATTACAAGAGTATGTTAAAAGAAACTGCTTATCTTTGCATTTCTGTGTCAAGATACATTAGAATTTGTTCAATTTTGGGGTACTACCTTGATTCAGGAGAGTTCAGATCATGCACACCTAATTTAACCTGATGCTTTAGTCTTCACCAGAACTTCCTCCATTAACTTTCACATACAACACTGCAGACAGAAAACAAAAGAGGACAGCGCACAGCCAACTGCATGCAGCAAGCAAGTGCAGGAGAAAGATTTTCCTGCCTCTAGTCCAGAACTGGGATCCTGTTGCACATAACTTGGAGCAGCAACAGTCCACACTATGCTCTTAGATGGAGGCATAACAAACATAAGACTGGCTACTCTCTTCAACAAATCCTGTTTAGCATCACTGAGTTTAAAATCAGTATTTCTCTTTCCCCAAGAACCAGCAGATCAGTGGAGCTCTGTTGGATGCTTCCCACTCACCACACTATACTATGATTTTCTACAGCTTATCTCACATCCATAACTCATATGTATTTTACTTCCAAATGTAAGGAAAAGTAAAAAGAAGGAAATCAAATTTGTTCTTTGATGGAGTCAATTTAATGACGGTAGAGTACTAGACAGAACTAGTCAGAATCATCATTGAAGTTACATTTGTCTGCTTGGCAAACTCACATTCACTTTTGGCTCGGTGAGTCATTCAAAGTTTCAATGCACCTGGACACGTGTGGAGTTCAAAATTCAGTGCAAAATATCTGATATTATGATATCACTGTAGTTTTTTTAGGAAAATGTAAATTGTCTGGTGAACTATACAAGCAAGAACACAAGATGTGAAGTTCCCTCATCTTCACCTGGAACTAAGGAAAATTTGAAAACGTTAATCAGCTTGTTAACATCATACATACATAGACACAGATAACGTGCCTTCCTATTACATTGCAACAGGTCAGTAAAAAAAACATTGCTCTTCTAGCTCAGTGTTAGGAAGAAGTACTAATGCACAGTTTAAAAAGAGGTGTCCAATTTTCAGATAAAACTGCAACAGTCACCAACACTTACTGTGAAGATTTTTAAAATATTTATGGCACAAATTAGCAAACCCATACTCTTTCATCTACCCTATTCAAATTTCTTGACTAGGCAGTGTGAGAAAAGCACAAAGAGCATCAAGAAAGAAGATTAGTAAAATATAATAAAAATGCAAAACAATGAGCTAGTCAGGATTACACTGCATAGTAGTTAAATAATTAATAATAACTAACTCTAGAAGCTCTGTGAAATATGCATAAAACAAAAACAAAGTCTTCATTTATCATTTTTTTGAAGCCCATCCAGATTCTGAGCTTTTTGATAAATGATCTTGAAACCTTCATTTTTACAGTTAGAATTTTATGCTGAAATCATGATAGCATGAACTGATTTTCAGCTGCAAGTTTTACTTGATTGGTTGATCTGGTGGCTGTCTGTTTTTTTTTTTTTTTCAATAGTTTTGCTTTGGTTTGGGGATTTTGTAATGCATATTAGAGAAACAGCTATAGGTAAATATCATTTTCATACAACGACTTCTGGAGTGAAGAGCACAAAAGCATGAAATAAGAGCTTTTTGTGGTAAAGTAAGATTAAACTTGAAAATGCAACATTAAATTATGAAACAGGTTTCTATGATGTTCTTCTCTAAATGTAACTGGAAAATACAAACCTCCAAATTCTGATTGCAGAAGAGAAATTATTCAGCAAAAGAAAAGCTGTTACCACCTGGCTCTATAAAATAAGCCCTTGCCCCCTATTAAATCAAAAGTGAGAAGCCCAGGCTGCCCCTTTACATCTCACAAATTTGAAAGGAAGGGATTTAACACGTTCTGATGTTTTTCTGACACTGAAAAATTCGCATGCTAAAAATAGCTTCAAGCAGTGAAGCAACAGGCACAGACTTACATATGATCAGGAAATTAAACCATAACTAACAGATTAAATGACCTCCAGGAGTACTTTTCACGTGTGCTCTGAAAAGACCTCTGACTACCTGGCTGACTGGTAGTGACTTCATGCACTGACCTAACATTTGTCACATTTGACCTCAAACTGTGTAGTGATATGTTAGTGTAAGAGATTAAAATATGTAGCTGAGAGTCAGCTTTGCTCCTTGTTTTGCCAGTGAGCTGACAGGCAACCATGGGCAAGTCATAAAAGCCAACACATAGAGGGTTATTAATTTTAATAACCTGCTGTTCAGTTTAAGGAACTACTCCTCACAAATGCATATGAGGCAGTATATCACCTCTAACTACAAACCAAGGTCTTCAGACCTTGTGCCTGGTTTGCTATCATGACTCTTGTTTGGAAACCATGAGTGACTCCTTTATGATTCTGCTTTCCAGTAATTACACTGCTTTGTCTTTATTAGCGTTTTAGGTGTGTGTTATTGATGAATATAACAGTGATTAAGATAACATTGGACTAAAAGTATATGCATGATCTTAGCAAATACATGCCCACACATTAATATGCAAAGGACAGAAGTTTGCAGCATCATTATGAGAAGTCCCCTGCACATAGTGCCATTTGTTAATAGTTTATATCAAGCACAGAAATGGAAAAACAACATAAAAGTCTGTTACAGGTTTGTCTACTTGGACAAGTTCCTGAACAAAAACCTGTACATCTTTCATCTCAGATGAAAGCCCCTTTAGCTGTTACTTATGTTCCTCTATACATCATTTAAACATATCTATATATCAGCCAGCAAGGCCTTACTGATGAGCACAGTTTTGTTTTCTTTTAAATCAATTACATCACAGAAGAAGTTGACAGTTGAGCTCATGTCTCTACCACGTGACATCAAAAGCCTGTAATACAAAAGAAGAATCATTGACCAAAAGACAAATAATCTTACATGGTTAGCAGCTCTGCACAGAGACTAAGGCAGCTTTGATAAGCCAGTGCAAGAATCAGAGATCATTCTGAATGCACCCAGTCCCACAGTTTCTCTCCTTTCTACATGCCCATTAACGTCAGATCTTTGTGCTAACGAAGTAGTACAGGAGTTTAGTCTTGTTTAAGCATGATCACATAAATTACATGCCTAATAATTGCCAAATAAGCCAGCTCACACAACATACAGCTTCTGTCAGCTTCACACTGGATTTGAACTGACTGAAGTGAGCAGATGGTGCCAGTCTGGTGGCAGACAGGAGTGGCACCGGCAAGGCTGATCTGCCACAAAGGCTCCAGGTTCACCTGCCAATGTTTTCTAAATGCACTTGAACCAGAAGAGGGAGGCAGATTGGGACTCTGAGCCACAAGACCATAGTGGTTTTCATCCAGTGTTAGGATCTGCAGGGGTAGATTTATGTTATCACGCAACCACAACTTTAGCTAAAATCTCTGCTGCCTTCATCCTGAAGTGATGTATTGATAAGAAAAATGGTTGTTAGAAAGGAGAAGATTACAGAACAGCCCATCAGGGAGGATTCAGCACATGAGATGACAGAGGCTTGAATTGAAATACACAGTGTCTTATAGCTGGAGCAATAGAGTCTATTTTTCTTGCTTTCTATTCTTTTCCTCTACTGTACCGAACACCATATTTCTTTTCTGCTTTTGGCACCTTCCATAAACATAAACCATCCTCTCTCTGTTCCTGCAATGGTACTTTATAAGAGAGAAAATGAAGAAATATGAAATTAAGATTCCACAGAAAGCTATTTAAATATCTTTGTACCACTTAGTCATCTCAGGCTTAGCATCCTGTTTGAGTAGTACATAAACTATGTAAGGTATTGGCAGGAACATATGAGAGGGAGGTGTCATTTTATTCTCAAGGCATTATTTGTCCTTTCTATTTATGTTCAATTTATTTCCATCCTTCCAGCAACCACTCTTTTAAAGAAGACACCACTCTTCTGAGTTATTCAAGATGGGTGACCTCAGCATGACTGCAAAGCAGTTAGATGACAAGTGCCTGTTCCTTCACCCCAAAAGCAAATTCATGAGGGTTATCACACTCCCTTCAACTAAAAATCTGCCCAGAGCTAAAAAAAACTCAGTTTCCTCTTGCTGGTAGAATTAGCCTTCTGACTGAGCCAGGCTACAAAATTAAAGCTCAGGAATGGGAATGGAAAAAGGTGATGGAATGGGATGGCAAAACCTACGATCATCCTTTAAGCATAGGCCAATGGCCAGAATCCCCAGAGATCAAAGCCATTGAGGCTGAGCTTCTCTGACTCCTTCTGACCTCACTGAAAGCTGAAATGCACTTAGCATCTGGCAAAACTAGGTCCCAAGCTTTTTTCCCCCATGATACGGCATATCTCTAAACCAAATGAGTACCTTTAATCTTTGAGTCTATTGTTGATTTCTGGGATGTCTTCCACAGATATATCAGTACCATCCTTTTCTCTTTAATGTCAGAAAATGCATTTTTATTTAGCGGTAGGAAAGAAACAAGATCAAAAAAAATAATGCATTTAAAATATCTTCTAAAAGTTTCAAAGTAATTCCCAGGTAGCAGTTAATGGATAAAGTATTATCTCCCCCCTAAACAGCAAGCTCAGCAGAACTGCTGTAGACAACTGCGTGCAGATCAGAAGACATGATATTGCTTAATTAGCACAGATTATATGTTACCTTGAAGTAGATAAATTTGTCTAGCTAAAAATCAGCTTCATCTCCAATCATGAGAGCACATAATTCCCAAGCCCTTCAGAAATGCTCACTAGTACACATCCATCCAACCATGTATCTCTGTCAGGCTATCTGGAGCAAAGGAAACCCTGGAAATGCTCAGTCCTAGCTTCCTCCCAAGTATTTTTAAAAACAACTGCAGAATTTGAAGACAGAGATTTGATTTCTTCCTCCTTGTTTTTACACAGCAATGCTCTGGAAAGGCAGGTGATGATGGTGGTGTTGTGACAGCAAGCAGAAAGCTTCAGTTCTGTTACTTGTATTCCATCTGAGCAAGTCACTTGTCCTGACCATGATACTACTAAATTATCCCTGTCACCAAGCACTTGTCTTTGAGGTTAGTTTTTTGAAGTTACAGCTTTTTCTGAAGAACAAATCTTTGCCTTTGAAAATGACAGAGTAGTATCATGTGATGGTTATGAGAGGGAGAGAGAAGTTTTACCCATGTGAGTCAGCAAATTCCCTTTCTTTCTACTGACCAAACAAGGACCCTTGTTTGCCCTGGGAAAATAAACTTTGAAAACCAAAATAGTCAACAAAAAGGATTTTTGTTCAAAATGTTAGAAACCACTCACTGACTTATTACCCACTCAGTTCTTAGCAGCAGACACGGGATGACAGAAGACGTAGATCCTGATGGTGACAGGCAGAAGGAAACCCTGCAACCTTTCCGTGAGGATGCCTGTGCCCTGCCTGAGCCTGCCGATTTTCTGCACATCACAAAGACCTTTCCATCTAAAGCCTAAATGCCCTTTCACAGGCAGTAAAAATCAAATGCAATTAAACCACATTTTTTTTTTTTTTTTGCACAGAGCTGGACTGAGATAACAAAGGGAGATGAATGAAGCCTGAAAAGAGATATTTCAGTGTCCGTGTGACATCAGAGCCATATTCACTAATAACCCCAAAGGAGGGATTCAGTCTCCTAAGGCACAAGGTGATGTACTGTCTTTGAAATTCACTAGCTAGTTACAAGTGTTGGTGAATTATGAAATATTCAACAAGACAAAAACTTACACCATGGTGTTGTGCATTAGTGGTCCTGAGGCCGCGATATATTAATGTATGCAAACTGACAACAATAGCTCAGGGAAAGCTTGAGTGCACACAGCCTGAGAAAGAAACAAATTGCAGAGCTCAGCTGAATAACCACAGTGGGTGGCAGCCAGCCAGTATAGTCCATATGAAATTTTCAGAATAATTTCTGTCAGACTAGGATTAGTCTTAACTCCAGGCCAGGTGCAGGGTAACACAAAAGATCACTTCACACAGTGGTTTCAGTCCATCAACATTCCTTTCAAGGTCATCAGTAAGACAAACAGACCAGTGGAGTTAACAGCATATGCTGAGGCTGACCACAAAAGAACAGACTACCTTTTTTTACTTTGCCTCTCCTGTTTTCTTATTCCCTTATCCTGGACTGTGATCTTGCAAGTTTTCACAAGCTAACTGAGGTTAGCCTGGGTCATTGGTTAGGTGTGAGTTCGAAGCCACTACAGTCAGGGTCCTTCCCTTGAGTTGCTATTAAAATTGGGTCTGCAAGAAAGTCATTCAGCTGAGGTCTGAACTTTCAAGAGCTTGGGAGTGTTGTGATTGAGGGCTTTGGCGTGGATTCATTACCAGGTTAGAGCTGAACTGTTATTAGGGCATGACATTAAGGACATAGAGATACTGAAAGGTCTCAGCTACTCAGATTCATTAAATTTCTCATGACACTGCTGGAAGGACATTTTTTCTATTAATACACAAAATTTGATCATATGTAATGCTACAGAAATCATTAAAATTCTCTAATTACTTCCCAAAAGTGAGTGATGAACATTATAATCCTTTCTCTGATTTATGTATATTATTATCTTAAAAGTTCCTTTAAGATAATCCTGTGTGAGTATTTGTAGAAAAGTATAAAATATTATTATTTTCAAAAACTCCAGGTTTCTGACTGGTCCTCCCCAAAAAGGAAAGAATGATTTGTTGTTCAAACACGCCACTGGAATTGTATTTAAGTCTTACAGTTTTTAAATGACCCTGCTCCTTTAATTCTACCAAAATAATAATGCAATGAAGTATAGAAAAAAACTCTGGGTACTTCAAGGGCTTAAATGAAACAATTAATGAGATTGAATGTAACTTATTTTATAGCGTCAGAAGAAGTTTAGCTATTTTCCATTTCAGGTGAAGCAGAAAAATTTATATTATATATTAAAAAAAAAAAAGCAAGGTTGAAAATACAAAGATAGTGCCTAGGGGCTAATTATTCAGAAGCACATATCAAGAGTCTAACCAACGTATTTAGTACTTTATTTAAAAGTCTATAATTGAAACTCATTTATTTTTTAGAGATTATTTACCTAAAATTAGAATCAAGGTTAAAAATCAGTCATCAAGAAACTGATTCTGCTTCAGAAAATAGAAACTATCTAAAATAAAGTTTTCCCATTCTTCTGGACTTATTGAAACATGCTCAGTCTGATGCTATAAGAGAGAAAACCAAAGGTTGAAACTATGATAGATCCTGTGTAGTTTCTGTGGGAAAAATACAAACCAAAAACTGAAGTTGAGATTCTGCTGTTCATGACTTGTCTGCCTTTTGGATGTCAGAAAGTTCAAAGGGTGAGAAAAAGGTTTTTTTAAACACTGGAGAATGCCATTGTCTTGGAAGTTTGGATTTAGTAGTCTGGTTCAGCTAAATAGGAAAGATAATTCAGATTCTTCTAGGCTGTGAAAGAGCTGCTTTCCCCAAATGTTTTCATCTTGTTTGTGTTATCTTATTGAAGAAAACGTATGAAATAATGAAATAACCATAACTGGCTGTAAATTATGTACTGGTCTGTCCTTTAATTGAGTATCTTACCTGGGCCAAAAATTAGTTCATGGTACAAGACACATTCAAACAAGCAATCTGATTGAAGGGCCTTCCTCAGAAATGCAATTTCATCTGAGAAAAAAGGTATATTTTCCTTCCTGAAAATCTGTTACATTTGGGGAAGTAAGGCCAAAAGGCAGAAGATATCAAGGGAAGGGCTACTGTGACTCTCCAGCCATGTTCCTGTTCATTTGCCCTCCATGCCACGTATAACAGGATAACATATGAAGCCTGTAAGACTGCCAGACTTAAGAATCACAGAGTGCAGTTGAAGACATCTGTGTGCTTGAAACAAAA